GATTGGTTTTTTTTTGCTTGAGCCTATCTGTTTTTCATCATAAGCTTAGAAACAGTCTTTTTTTCTGGTATATGAATTGCCTTGGAACCCTAAACTGTTTCATAGTACCTAAATATATGAGCACCTTTGATATTTCTAGATTATTTTCCATTTGGCTTTTGACAATGTGGTAGGGAGATTGCATACAGACAGGGATGCTTTTAGAGGAGAAAAGCTTAGTCACGAACTTAAAATTTTTTCAGATATGTAATGGATTGTGTGCCAAGCATGCTCACTGTTTTTGCAAATCCATCAAAACTCACTATTCTGAGCAGTTTTCGTTCCTAATTTCTATATTGAGAGGGCATGCAAATATTAACCTGTTTTTGGCATAATGGTAGAAGATAGTCATTAGTGAATTTAAAGATTAATCATTCAAGTTTTTTGGAAAAGGAACTTTAAATAATAACTTTTCTAGGAAACAGAACTGACTATCCAAGAAAGGTCCAGGTATGTGAGCTGAGGGCTGAGCTAGAAGAACTGACCAGAAAAATTTTATTTCCTATACTTTATTAATTATTCTATGATTGCAGTCAAAATGCTCCTTAAGAAAAAGGATATTGTTATTTTAACTCATGACTTCATGTTAGCTCTGTTCTGCCATGTATGCCTGCCTCTGAATAGGCAATTAAAGCAGGGTTTGCTAGCGCGTTCTCTGGATATTTACTGGGGGCTTGTTGTTCTTCCTGAACAACTAGGTGCAACTTTGCTCAGTGCTGGGCTGTTTTATCTAGTTTTTCTAGTTTGGAACCTGAAGACATATGTTCTTACAACAGCCTCTGGTTGTAGAAAAATGGTTTAGTATCCATTTCTGTGGTAGAGAACTAAGGATCAGAGGTTAGGTACAAGGACATTTTAAGTCTATAGTTCAGTCCCAATGCAATATGCTTAATAGTGACACCTTTTTGTAAAGGAGGTCAAATCACTTCTTTAACCCTGGGGAATCTTCCTATTGCTGAGGGGAAAGAGCTTGTCCATCTCTTGAAGATTGAACTGAATTAAAACTAAAAGCAATTTTGGCTGTCCTTTACTTGTTACAGAAAGGGTTTTCTTCCTCTCTCTCTTGATAGGAGGGTGAATGCAGGTTGTGGGTGACGTTTTGACTAGACATAATGTGCTTGAGTTGTAAATGTAGATGTCCTACATGATTTTTTTTTTAAAATCCCTTCCAGCCCTGTTTTGTAGGATTCTGTGCTCCCATTTTCATGTGTTCCAGTATTTTCCATTATATCTTTATGGATGCACATAGTCTTTTAGGAGAGAGAGATAAAATAATCTGATTGAGTTGGGAGTATAGGAAGGACAAGGATATTCACTTTATTTATATGGCACTGATTCACTGACCAGTAAACAAGTATCAAGATCTGTGAGAAAGACTGTCCCTTGAGTAAGTGGTTGTTTTAACTTAGAGGCTGCCAGCCAAAGGGTATCTCAAGGCTTTCCTTTGCTGTTTCAAAGACTTCCTTAATTCCTTTCTTTCTTGCATCTCTTTGCTCTTTTGTTTGTTTGTTTATTAAATAAACTAAGACCTTGGTACCAAAAATTATCTCTTCCATGTAAAGTATTTTTTGAAGATCCCCTGAGCAAGTTACATTGTCCTTTGTTTCCAAGCCACCTAACAAATGCACATGCCTTGACTAAAAAATAAGCTAAGGAGAAGATAAAGGTACAAAACAGGACTTTCTTTTGCAGTTATTATTCCTTCTTCCCTTATGCTGTTGTTTCTTCCCCTTGCTCCTCTCATTCTTTTTTGTCTATTTAATTTATTCTGTGAACATCTGTGGAATTGGAAGTACATTTTTGTTGTTCGTTTGTAAAACTGCAAATCTTGACACTGTATAAATTTATAATACAATATTCAATTAATTATTTTCACAGTCCCTGAGCTGATAAACCACTTGGAACAATTAGTTCAGTTAACTAGGATCTCTTCAGTAAAAAGAGAAACTGCAAGTTGCATCTGTATCACATTGTCAGTTTATTTTTTACCTTTGTTTAATACTTTAATATACTGGAAGACTTCCCAGAACATCCAGTGCAATCCCTGTAGTTGTCAGTCAGTGTGTTTATTTTAGAGAGGGTTCTGGTAATTTTTACATGGAAACCTAAAAATGTGAGAGAGGTAGTCATTTCTTATCCTTGTATTCAAGGGGATTTTTTTTTTTTGGTTACGTTTCTTTTCTTCTTCTGTTTTTGGTTTTTTTGTGTTCAAATTAGCTTGGTCTAGTTCTTAATTATGAACTTTTAAGAATGTATTTAATAATATACTAAAGATTTTGCTGTTTCCCAGAACTGGCAAGAGACTGAATTGGTTGATAACTTCTGATTTACATTCTGCTATTACAGTCTTGACTCAGTCTTCTGCTGCTAACATCTGTTTTGGCTTCCATGTAGTCCTTGGGACACAAAAAGTGAATCAGACTGTTGTGTTTTTTTAAGAATGCCAAACATATTAAACGGATTACAGGTAGTGTAAGAGAGAGGAAATAGCAGCCCATATCCATAACTACAGCTTGTCTCATTTGTTACTCTTGACAACTTAACCTTGACTCTTGACTCTTAGCAAATAATAATGCCTCTCAAAAATGAAAGAGCATTATTTTGCAAAGATTATACATTCTTTTATCTTGAAATATTTTAACTTTCTGCAGTGTTGAAGTGGTAATGGTAATGGTGCAGGCTAGTATAATTTTATTTGATTGATTTCTGTAGCCTAAATTCATGGTAATCTGAGTATGAGTAAGTCCTTGAAAAACAGGTAATCAGAGTAAGGGTAAAATACGTCCTTTCTAATGTCTAGTTCAAGATTAAAGGCCCATTTTTGTAAATGACTTCATAGAGTCAGTCTAGACAGTCTAGTTACAAAAAATAGTTTTTACTTTTTTCCTCTTATTCACTGAAATCAATATGGTGCTTAGGATAGTGGCAAATAATGACTTTCTTTGTGTCTATGTAATCACTATAGCATTCTCGTTAGTAGTATAAATGTCTCTCTTTTCCCAGTGATTGCGCAAATGACTACTTCCATGTATGAAGAGTTGGTTCTTCTGCTGATTGTGCTTAGTATGCGTGCACAGAGAATGAATATTCTCTTGTACTACTGTTTTTTTTTTTTTTCTTTTGAACTTTTCATGCAGAAGGGTTTATGTAGCAATAAGTAAATTGCTGGTCTCTCTCAACCAGTAATTTTTGTAGTTTCTTAACGTGAGAAGCAAGTCAATGCCACGAATGCTTTTGTAACTATTATTTCTCTTTAAATATCCTCTCTTTTAAGCCCTTCTCATTTACAGCTCACATTTACTTCAGTGGGTGTTCCATAAATTTAGTTGTGTATCTTGCACATAGAATGAATGGTATAGACAACATGTGTGTCTCTTGCTTCATAACATAAATAATGGAAATGAGAAAACATAGCTTATATGAAACTAGCTGAGGGTTGCTGTGCTATTTCTGTCCTTTTTCTCCTTCTTCCAAAAATTCACACTTTAACATGGAAAACTAAGGAGGAGGTAGAGTTAAATAACCAAATATATACATTATGTTTGCCAGTTTTCATTCCAGTCACACAGCTCCAGATTTTTAGGGATTTACCTTCTGAAAATAATTACCATGTTTTTTTCTATTTGTTTTGCATCTCATTGTTTTACCCTCCAGCAGGAAATTGTTACTACAGTACAGCAATGCTCTTATTGGAAGTGAGGAAGAGGAGTCTTCAAAAGTAGGGAAAATATAGCAACCACCTACTTGAGGGTCAAGTTCAGATACTGTGGTGTTATAATGCCTCAAATTTTGATATACCGTCACAGCAAAGTGATTCAGCAAATGGCAACAAGATTTCCAATTGCATAAGGACTATGAAATGACATATTAAGTGAGAAGCTGGATAGAACTAGTCAAAAGGAAGTGCTAAGCACAGAGATGGCTCTGAACTCCTTCCTTCTCTGAAACTTGGGCACTTGATGCTGAGGTACCTTAGCTCATTCAGGCTCAGAGCCCCAAATCATCTTCTAATGCTTAAAATTATAAAATTACTCTTTAAAGGTATATGACTGTCATTGTTGCCCACCATTTATCTATAAATTTGGTGGTTACAGCATTTTTCAGGAAACAGGAGACCTTTAAAACCAGCTGATGGAGTTTGAACTTGCACTCCCTATTTTCCAGAAACATACTTAAGTAGGCTATGGGCTAGGCTTAATTTAGAAATCTTCTGCCATTTGTCTTGAGAGAGAGAATGCATGCTGGAATGCAAGACCTGGGGAACTGGAAAAACAGCGTGCAAGAGAAAATCTGACACTACCGTATGGCTGGGTCATTCATCTCAAAGGAGTGATAATCTCTGATTCCCAAAATTATTACTGTTTATTATCTAGCAGATGTGTATTTTGAAAGGCATACACAGCCCAAAGAACATGTTGAAGAAGCCTTGAGCCTATGTACCATACTTATTGGTGAGTGCTCTAACCAGTAGCATCTCATGCAAAAAGAGTTTGCTCACTGCTGTTGCAACATGAACTCTGATTAATGCAGATCAGGTGGGAGCGAGGTTCTGGCAGTTCTGGCAATAGCACCTGTGGGCATATGCTTGCAAGGAGCTTTTGGAGCTGAGGGGACAGGCTTTATATCATTTTAATTATGAGAAGGTAGGAGAACAGAAGGTTATAAAATAAATGAGGAAAAACAAAAGATTACTTCTTAAATGCTTTTAGTTCTAGAACTATTCATTAGCATGTGCAAGTATACTTTATTATGGATTTGTGTATTTCCAGTATCAAATCCAGATTCTAGCATCAGGAACAAAAGCATGTTGCAGTTCTGTGGACCTTGAAGAAAAAGAGCCTTCTAAAAGCAGTTAGCTTGACAAATCAGCATTTGACACATTACAAACCAGAATCATTAACAGAATTGTCTGCTTGTTTGTGAATTTTTAAATTTTCCTTTAACATATTATGTATTTTCAGGTTGGATGAGCTAACTGAAAGATTTCTGGAAGATACTGATCCTGAAAGCATTCTAGATGTTGGTCCTGACATGCGCAAGATCAAGTATTGCTTCATTCACATGAAGGTATATCTTTTAAGAATATATGGAGGTGGAGCTGGCGCTAAGAATAAGGAGACATTCACAGTTGAAAAATGTAAAAAGAAATGCAGTGCAGTTGAGAGGCATTGGAAAAAGGGCAACACAATTTAGCAATGCTGTGAAGTGCTTGGAGGGCTGATATAAATTTTGAAGTCAAACCGGAAAAACGTGGCAGGATTATGGAGGAAACCCCAGCAAGGTCTCAGCATGCAGTAAAGAAGAAGGGAGTGCTAAAGTTACAGGAATCAACACAGATATTTGTAAATGGATAGATATACCCATCTGCATGGATATGGAGGCTTTATTTTGGATAAGCTGTGTTGAAAAATATAAAAATACAAAAGTAAAGTCACCATATCCTTGAATCTGCTGCACTGACTGTCTTGATGGTGTTGTAAGACCCTCTAGACCGGTGAGCAAGCAAGATATGTTTAAAGTAGCAAGAATACATGAAATTAATAGAGAAAGAAATTAAATATAGCATATACTTTTCCTATATTTTCTATAATTTTCCCATATAGTAATGTACATGTTCCTGACCTTAATTTATCATCCTTAAATGTTAGTTTTAAATGCGTTGTTAATCTTCAAAGCATGGTGTTATCAGAGTACACTGGAGTTTAGGTATGGAAAGGTTAAAGTAAATTGTATGCTTGTTAGTGAAGATGAATAAATTCAGCTTGTTCTATGCTTAACACAGAGCATATAACTTGACAGTTAACTAGTGACATGATTTTCCTCTTTCAAGAGGCTAGAAAGACCTTAACTTTGCTACTCTACCTAGACAGTCAGAGTAATTACATAGTTGGAGAAAAAGGTAAAAGAGCATACTTTTTTTTTCTTCTGTTAGCAACTGATGAATCAATCAAAGATTTCTGATAAAAAACTGCTCTCACAACCCACTTTGGAAGAAAAAGACTCTAGCATGCAAGCAGGAAAAGACGAGTTGAAGAAACTGAAAGAACTTTTGCAGCAAAGAGACAATGAAATCAGTATCCTTTGTGAGGAAAAGAAAATACTGGGGTTTGAGCTGATCTGGCTACAATATTTTTTGTATGTATGAGATGGGAGTTAGCTATATGAAAGGAACTACTCTCTACTGACCCCAGTGTGTTAAAGCAATTACTCAGTTCCCAACTTTTATGTGGCAGGACCCCTGCTTTGCACCTGCTCCGATTTCAGTTGTGACCCAAACCAAAATCCTGGATTCAAGCACCACTTACATTTAGAGAGTTCCAGCCAAGATCCAAATACTGTGCATAAGGCCTAGAACACTCTCCTCAAGCAAATGAAACCTTTTGTAGTATGGGAGACTGTGATGCTATATAAAGAACAATTTATTACCTTACAAAGAATAGAATTTCCTGTAAGTGTTATTTTTAGCCAAATGAAGTGCTACTTTGGGGACTATTGGACTCTGTGCCTTTAGAACAAATATAAAACTTGTGCTCTTTACATGCAATTTTAAATTAAGGCTAAGGCTTCTTGCATATAGAAATATTAAGCTGTTCAGATGTGCTTTGTCCATTTTACTGCCTCACAGGAAACATATGAGTAACTGCAGTGTTGCAAAATGTAAGGAGGCAGTTATTTTTAGCTGATCTACAGAACTGCGGGCAGACAACAGCTCACCATATCCCTAACTTTATGGTTGCTTTGTACATAAAATTTGAATGATGTTAGAGAACTGAAAAAATAAATTTTTACGTTTATGGAGAGCAGAAATTCTTTTACAGTTATTAGTAAAAAACATACTCAGTTGCATTCTTTGTATTCACCAATTCCAGATCAATTTTTTATGCCAAATAAGAATGGCTTTTTACTTCATCAGTGTATAGTATGCTAGCAGTCTAAAGTGAGGTGGCAGGAAAGCTTCTCAATTTCTGCTGCATCTGTCACAGAAGATAAGGTGTTTATTTTCCAAAGGATCCTTTCAAATAAATTCAGCTATAACATTGATGTATCATTCCTTTAAAAAATTGTTTAATTTGGGGGTTTTTTAAGATCTGGATTCCCAAAAACATTTTTTCCTGAAGTAAATCATTTAATTGATATGAGATTGTTAATGAAACAACACAAAACAGCTATTAAATAGCCAAATGCACTTGTTCCTGATAGATAGTTATGACTTTCTTTGCCGAAGTAAAAGCAAGAGGCCCATTGCTTAAATCCACGTTATTTTGAGATAGATAGGAGAAATGTAAGAATTAATGCTTTGAATGTAAAACTAACATACAGATCTGCAGCTTCTAGCAGCCTTATAATATTGTTAGAAAATTAATATCATGACTAGTGTGATAGAGTAGTGAGACGTGTGGAAGCTGTTTAGTCATTGAACTATGAGGTTCTTCTTGCCTTTGATAGGTAGGAGCGATCATAATAACTAGCTTATAAAGTGTTTTATTATTGCCACCTAGTCTTGTAAATAACATACCCCAAAGACTGCCTAGTTTTTCTGCTGTTCGTTTAGGATTAAAATGAACAGTGCATCAAAAAACATACCACAGGTAGTCATGTGGTTTTTGCAGCAGGTACACCAGATTTTCACTGTATGCTGTTACGCAAAATGAATTTATACCAAAATAAACTCCAAGTGAATACGCAGTGTTACTGACAGAAATTTCCTACATACCTGTTCTCATTTTAGTAAACCTTCTTATTATGAAAAGCTTGCAGAACTGATACACTTGCCAATATACTTGTAAAAGTTAAGCGAATTTTTTTTTTGTTTGGAAATTTTATTCATTACAGAATTTTAAAAAAAGAAAAAAAAGGAGTGTCCACGCAATGGCTATAAATTACTGGAATTTTCATTCCTGTTTGTCTATAAACTACTAATACATTTGGCTGCTTTTATCAATGAGTTGATTGAACAGGATCGACAATTGTGACCAGTCTGTGAATTTGTTAGTGCTCAGTAAAAATGAATCTACTGTTTGAAAAAACTACGATGAGTGGATATAATTGCAAAGAATATGCCCAACTTCAAATTCACTGTTCACTTAAATAAGCTTCCTTATGCGAATTGTTCCACTTGAATAAAAAAGACTTTATGTATTCTTCTGGTTGAAGAGAGGTGATTGTTGCCTTATAGAAAAGAGATCTTTAATGCTTTCCTTAATATATCTTGCAGATATTCTAGTAAATATGCTAAAAAAAGAAAAAAAGAAAGTGCAAGATGCCCTTTTCCAGCTTAATGCTGTCTCTGGTGGTTCTAAAGTCTTGGAGCAACCTCTTTCTATAAACTTGGAAGAAAGTCGGAGCCCATCTAGTTGTGTTAATCTGAAAGAGGCAAAAGATATCAGCTGTTTAGTTCACAGACTGCCTTTTCTTTCCAGAAAAACAGGTTAGTATACTTAGTTAAGGGAGCAGTTATTGGATTTTTACAATATGAGGTTCAGCACTCAAATATGTAATGGGACAGGAAAGTTTTATTTTCAGCGTCAGCAGTGTTGTGCTAATTCTGTATCCGCAAATGCAGTGATTTCAATTTATGGCTCTCTCAAGGTGCAGGTGGCTTTTACAGACTGATGTGAATCCTGTGTAGAACAGTCCTCCAAAACCAGAATACAAGTTGAGCTGCAGACCCTCATATCTTCAAGTAAATCTGTACTCAGAAAATGATTTTTTGAGCATAGTTCGTAAGACGTACTAAGAAATAAGATTTTTTTTCCCATGGAAGTTTGAATATACTGAATTTTAACAGAAAAAAACCCTAATGCAGAACGACAGATATTGAAAAAAGTTTTGTGCAGGCATTATTAATTGCACAGTTTCCTTAAACACCAATATACACATATTAATTTTTTTCTTTTTTTTCAGTCTTCCAGCCTAGGAGAGAAATATTATCTTGAAATACAATGAAATTTTATTAATTATGCTTCCAGCTGTGAGATCACATGGTAAACACAAAACGTTTTGTGATTATAAGAATCTTAAAAAAAAAATTTTTTTTTATTATACAGTTTAGCTCTCTGGCTTTTACTTAGCATTTTTAACAAAACATTAGGTTTATTTATATTATTACAAAATAAATGTGATTGAATGCACTGAGGCCTCAATTCAGGAAATGATTTAGATATTTTTGTGCAGGCAAGCAGCTTTATTGAAATCCTAACATCTTTCTGGAGCAAGATCTTAATAAGCGTGAGCAAATCCAAAATTCTTCTGTTCCTCTGTTTTAGAAAAGATATGTTAATTGTTTGACAAGTGATCCAGTAGTTCATATCATTTGTAAACAGATTAGAAATAGCTGAATTCTTAAATAGTGTATTCATTTAGTATAGATAGCACACTCAGCACAGCTTTACCATATGATAATGGCTTGATCAAGATGAGCACTATTGTCTGTAGGGGACTGGTAAAAAAAAAAATGTTTGTCCCTTTTAGTAAAGCCAGGTTATTGTTATTCATATTTTATTCTAATAGAGCTGTTTTGCAAAATTTAATATGTAAACATACCATATGCTATTCATTGAAAGAAGAATTATTTGGAACAAATGGATGGCACAGGGAATCTGCCACCATGATGAAGTATTGTCTGTGGTTAATCAATAAGTAAATGTAATTGATTCGTGCCCTGTTAGCATAATGAGTCTTAAAGAGACAGTTACATGGGATGAGAAGGTCATGTTTTTTTTAGATTAGACCTTTTGTCTATGATTATATGGCTTTGTCATTCTGTGAGTGGATGTAAGCCTACTCACTTATTTCCAGTTTTCATTTCAATAAAGACACAACAATCTGTCTGTAAAGTGTGTCTACACAACAAGGATTTTTCTAGCAGTTACGCTGTTGTTACTGTAGCAACTAGTGCAGCAGAAGTTAATTTTGAATGCTCCATTAAGTTCACAGTGCTTTTTTTAAACAATTAAATGGTTTAAGTATTATTGTGTGTGCTATGAATTAGTTGGTGTGAGTTCAAAAAACTGTATCCTTTTTCCTTCTAGTATATGTTGCTATAGGTGGCTTTAAAAGGGTACACCTCTGTAGCACCATATTAATGTTTGCTTTCTTTCAACTAGAAAATCAGTCACAACATTAGCTGTGAGTTAAAAATGCTTTCTTATTACCGATTAATGTGGCTACTGTCTCCTCTTTCAACCTTTTTTTATAAAAGTAAAATTAGATAGTATTCATAGTTCACTAGAGACTACGTGTGGTATATGGGGTCTCAAAACATTCAGCAAGGACAGTGAAAGGTTTTGAAATTTTGGTTTGTTTTGTTCTTTGTTTTTATTTTACTGAAATAATAAGAAAGCCTGTCTGTTCAGCTCCAATGCTGAAAAGAGCCATATTGTTCTCTTTAAAATAATGGTGGTCAAATAACGGTTTTATATTTCTGTGTGTATGCTGTTATTCTGTGTGATTCTGTTATGTGTTAAGAAACAATGATTCTATTTGTATCTTGCGATTATGTTTGTTACTTTGCTGTTTTGGTACTATCAGCTCTTCCATTTCTAAGCCACTGGAGTTTCTTTTACATCTATGCTAGCAGTATTTATTAAAAAAAAAAAAAGGTTGGCATAAGGAAACTCTGTGTGTTTGTGTTTCAGGGGCCAATGCTCATAAAAATAATAAATATTATTATTATTATGCTGTAATAATGAAAATGTAAGCACATAGCAAATCATAGTGTCTTAAAACATAATAATATTATAAAATACATTCACATTAACTGTAGTTAAAAGGCTAGATTTTTTAAAGTAGATATGCATAAATTGCTAGTAAGAGTTTATATTCATCCAGTTTATTCACCGGCCATGCGGAAAATTTTACTTGGTGAATCAGCTTTTTTATATTGCAACACATATATTAGTTCCTAAAATGTTTGAGTATAGATGCAACTGTTTAGATTGGAGAATATGAATCGAAATACTGCTAATGAAAGCTGAAGATGTGTTAGTGTTTTAATAGTTTGAACTGATGTTCGTGTAGCTGAATGTAGTGGAACTCTGATGACCGTGAATTCTCTGACTGAATCATTTTCTTGTGGTTCTTAGTCTATTTGCAGCAGAAAGAGGGTTTCAGAGTCATTAGCTTTTCAGATCACAAACAGTTGAATCTGTTTGAAGTTTTAATATGGGATTATAAAGATGGCTAGTACCCTGGAATTAGTTTAGTTTTAATTCCCTATCTACCGTTTATAGTCAAGGAGAGCAGCTTCCATTATTTCAGTAAAAACAAACTGCACTTATTACTTTTCTGACAGTGAGCTGGTTAATGATTTTGATGACTATTGTCTTCTCCTGGATGTTCTGAAAATTGCTATATGGTGTATCTATGCTGAAATAGGGATTTAAACTTAGATGATGAAAGCCAACTAGGAGATTTAACCACACAATTTGTGTCCTAATTCACCTCAGTAATTTGGCTAGATAAGTATTTACTTTTAAAAACATAAACTGCTTACTTTTGGAACAATCACTGTTGAGTCAGGTTCCAATATTCTGGAATGACATTCAGTGTGGATATGAAAACAATAAGGTTCCCAACAACCAAAATGCTAAATGTGAACATGAAAAACCTCTTTCAGGCTCACTTATTAATTCATTTTTTTTATTTGTTTGTATTGCTCTGAGGGTTATAGATAACAAAAAAGTTATTTTTGGCCACTGCATTTCTAGTCACTATTATAAGTGGCTATATATGTTAAATTGCACTCTAAAAGAGTAGCTTGACATTCAGTGACAAGTCTAATCCAGTTGTGTTGGCAGCATATGGACTTCTGTTATGTATAGCTGTTATAATGATAATGTCTTATATAATTATTTCTTGAAAGGCTTCTGGTGTTGTGCTTGAAAATACTTGAGTCAAAAAATTTAAAAATTAATAGGAACACTGTTAATAATACAACCTGTACAGACCTGCCAGTATGCCTTAAATCCACCCTCGGGAGACCACTTGTTTCTGCTAGAATATAACTGAATTTCATTCCTTTGGCTCTCTACTGACAATGATAGTATTTTCTCCCTGGTGTATAAATAACTTTTATTTTTTCTGTTTGTTCAGTTTCTAAAAGTTCCTGTATAACAAGTTTCAATATTTAGCTTTGTATTATAACTGTTATTTATGTAAAAAGTACCTCAAAAATTGACTACAAACTATATATTTTTCAAATCAGCATGTAGGAATTTCACAGTTTGAGTCTGTGTGGTATCAAGAGAAAAATTCACCACGTAACACTTGTAAATATATGCAAACAGTTAAAAGAAAGTTCTGAGAGTAAAAGTCGGCAAAGAGAAAACTAGTGCTAGGACAAGCTGTCTATGCTGTAGTAAAGAATAATAGTAGAAAAACAAATTACAGTACTGCTGTATCAATATCACATAAACAGAAACAGTGTGTTCATATGGAACATCCCACTTTCTTTGTAGGCAAGTTACTTTTTTATAACCTTAGCTGTAAAGTGCTATAAAATTTCAGATGTCTATTACTAGTCTTCTACTTTATTATAAAGCTATAACACTGCAAAGATACCTAGGTGCATTCCATGGCAGGCAAAACTCCACTCTGCTAATGGCTAGGATATAGTTTTCTTTCCTGTCGGACTCAGACCTGGACACGTTTATATACGGCCAGCTTGGTTTATCTAATTTGTTCTATCTAATGATGAAGGAAAATATGCAATTAAATCCTCCAATCGTTAGATTCCAGAACAGTCAGTTTTTAAAGATGAGGAAAAAGCGGTGCCGTTTGTGTAGTGCTAACTACTGCAGTATTATTAGCAGTAATATTAATGTTAGTATTTTGGAAAAACATATCCTTCTGCAAACCAAATTTTCAGAGTAGCTGAAGCCGTTGCTAGCCTGATTTTACAATGTTTTAAGGGTATATTTAACTTCACCCAAATAAGTAACGCACTGGGATTTATTAAGTATGTGCTTATATCTTTACAGAAACAGCAACCTAAGCAGTGCAAATTGTATTGACTAGTTAGCATTGATTGAGTATAAATAAAGGAGTTTTTATGGTGGTTAATGGAAAAGTGTTAACTGTTAAGCATTGCAGTTATTCTTCCTTTACATCATCTAGCTGGTTAAATGACAATAAATAATAATAATCCTGCAAATTGTTGGTCTCAAAATCCACATAGGGCAACTTCCAATAATAGCAGACAGTTATTTTGTTGTGTAGCTGCTTATTCTATTTATTTTCTAATCTAATTTTTCAAATAAAAATATTCATTGGTGTCAGTAGCCTCTAAAACTACTGGTTTTATTAGTAGAGAAAAACTTGTCTCATCCTAGACTATCATGTATAATTACTTTACTTTTTTATAACTTGTACTTCTGTACACAGGAGGGGGTTTTGTGCATTTTGCAAGGAATCCTTTCAACTGAAAGG